AAACTTAGCTGTTAATAATCTGTTCAATATCTGATATACGCAGGAGTGCTGCAACACCTATTCGGACTCAGGTGCACGCAGACAGTATCGAATATACTCAGGGATTTCAATACAGTACTCCTTAATTGCTTTCGACACCCTACCAACGATCCAATGAATATGGTCACTGAAACTATGGTAAACGAGATGCGTCTCCCTTGTTTCAAGGATGGTGATTAACCAAACACAGCTCTTGTAGTCGATTGTACGGAGTTTTTTATACATACCCCATCTAATCTGGACCTGCAACACATTACTTGGAGTTCATACAAACACCATAACACCATGAAGATGTTGGTTAGTAAGGACGGAGCAGGTCATTGGGTTTTTTGTTGCTATTTGTATGGGGGTAAGATAAGTGACAGACAGATATCAACTGTGTGCAAGGATACTCTATTCGATAAGCTATGGAAAGGTACATCTTGCATGGGCGACAAGGGGCTTTACATCGATGATCTCTTCCCACCTAGCTGTACTAACAATATACCACGAATGTTGCGGAAGGATACACAACTTGTACCTGATCAGAACTCAGACACCAAACGCATAGTATCTTCTCGTATATATATTGAACATGTTAACAGGCGCGCAAGTATTTTTAGGATGAGGTGAAGATTATCGATGTTCCCTTCTTTTGTAAAGCAGCCGAGATCTGCTTCTACCTTACTGACATTATTTCACCTTCTGTACAAAGGGAGGAGTAAAAACAAATATAATAAAGCATATGCATACAACAAAAGTTTTTAAATTTTAAAATACAAGTGTTTTTATATATAAGTCATTATCCATAAGTATTTACAGTCTATAGAACCGTAATATATATGTCGACGAATCCGTCCAACTGATCGTCATCAACTTCGTCCAAAGTATAGCATCGGCGCCGCCTCCTGGCAATTTGAAATGGTAGTGTTTTGCAATATCATCATAAAGTGCAAGATGTTCTCTACGATGTCGCCATAGCTTTTGATCCGCACCTGTGAATGGTAATTGTCGGTCATCACATTATTTAGTGGAAGCATAACTGAATGTTACAGTTACGGATAGCAACGCTGTTCCGTGGGGTTCTTTTCGAATTTGGTGCTGAAGAAGTACATACAGTATTAGTAATATCCGAGAACTTATCTTGACGATCAGCGCAAGAAGTGGGCTTTTCGATAAGCAATCTGTGCATAGATGTTGTGATGTCTAATCCTAAGTCGCCAGATGGTACATTCCACTTACACAATTGACTGGTGCACAAGTGTTCCCCCCTCTCATATTCACGAGTTGGATAGATAGAATCATATTTGTATCTTTCAATCTCATTGTGTTGTGCCCACTCGGACTGTTTCTTTTCAGTACAAACCAATCCCGCTACATGTGCGCATTTAACATTGATTCCTAGACTGCATTTACTAAAATGCTTCAGAAATATAGGAATGATCATCCTCTTTATCACACTTGATCTCCACATGTGCTTCCATCAATGTAGTCTGCCTCGATCGTGGTATTCTACCGTACATGTAGTATACTCCTTTGTCCAATACTTCGTCCATAGATATACTGATATTCATTCATTTGTATTTGCACCATTCTTTCGCAGAGATCAGAGTTGCATTAATATCAGCAGTCGTACTCGATGTGTCCGGCTGTATGCTTACGTGTGCTGCAATCCTCACCTGCACTTTCGCGTTCGTGGCTGTGCTGCTCCAAAGAACTGCAGTAACTGACATTACAGGGATTGTGTGCCATCTGCTAAGAAGAACGTACGTAAATATTCGCGAAAATTTTTGTGGTAGTGGATTTACCCCAAAAGGCTGAATC